TTTATATTAACACAAGCACTGTTTTATGTTAATACATGCACTGTTTTATATTAACACAAGCCCTGTTTTATATTAACACATGCACTGTTTTATATTAACACAAGCACTGTTTTATATTAACACAAGCCCTGTTTTATATTAACACATGCACTGTTTTATATTACACAAGCATTGTTTTATATTAACACAAGCCCTGTTTTATATTAACACATGCACTGTTTTATACCTACCACATGCACTGTTTATATTAACACAAGCCTTGTTTTATATTAACACATGCACTGTTTATATTAACATAAGCCCTGTTTTATATTAACACATGCACTGTTTTATATTACACAAGCATTGTTTTATATTAACACAATCCCTGTTTTATATTAACACATGCACTGTTTTATATTAACACATGCACTGTTTTATACCACCACATGCACTGTTTATATTAACACAAGCACTGTTTTATATCAACACAAGCACTGTTTATATTAACATAAGCTCTGTTTTATATTAACACAAGCCCTGTTTTATATTAACACATGCACTGTTTTTATTCACTCGGTGGATATGCTGAGCTAGTCTTTATCCTGTATAGGCAAGTTTTACTATCGAAAACATGATTCTACTCGCTGGGACTTCAGAAGCAAGATATTCTTGCTTTCACGAATTACTGGATGACTTGTTTTGGATATACAGGTTTACGAGGCAGAATTTATATGTCTGAAGTATGACTGATATTATACATATAAATATGTGTGTTTTGTCATTTAGACTCATTAAATTAGTAGCATACATCTTATACTCTGTCTCAGGAAACAACAACACGAATTTTATAAAAACAGTGAAGATTCTTTGACCAAGATATTAACTATATATGGTTCTTTCCTTTAATCAGTTGTTACTTACTTTTTGCTTCTATCACATCGGGGCAGAAGATTTAGGAAACACGTTGTTTTATTTTTCGTGGTTTACAACTATTTGTATTTGTGGTAAAACTACTAAAGCCGCCATCTCTAATTTAGAACAACTGGTCAAAGGGAACACGTCCGGTCAGTAGCATTTTACCATCCACGCTAAAGGTTATTGTTGTAGAAGAGTAAAACCTCATTAGGCTATCTTCTGTGTCTACCGCGGGGAATAGAACCCTTAGCGTTGTAAGTCCATAGACTTACCGCTATACCACTGGGTACCCACTGTACCCACGCTAAGGGATTGTCTGTCATTCTTTTAATGCACCTATAGCTCAAAGTGCGCAGAACGATATCGCACGGGTTTCACTCCAGTTTTCCAACTCCATAATTCAGAGCTCTATTGTTGTACAACTAATTACCTGGTTTTGCTAAGTGTGCTCTCCTGTTGTTGTAAGCTATTTTTGTTAATCGTTAATTTAGAATTTTTTTAGCTAGAGAGTTTTTGGCGTCACGTAATAAGCGCGTGACTTAATAAATAGAACTTTCTAGGACGTGTAGAAAAATAAACGAATGAGACCAGAAAATAAAGTTTGAAGATGGCTTGAATGTATAAAGAAGAAAACTTTATTGCAAATTTAACACGGCAACAAAGGTGCAATGATTCGACAAGGTTTCCCTGCGGGACTTCAGGAGCAAGATATTGCTGCTTTCATAATCTCTACTTGGCTACAAGACTTCAGAATGTACAAAATGACCCCCCTTTTTTTTTGCTGTGACATAAACCCATTTTAATGTGAACATCATGCACAGTTTTAGTTTTAAATGAAGGACATCAAAAATAAACTACAAGATCGATGACGAGGAACCCACTTTGAGACTAATAATGGCTGGAGACGGCTTGAGTGGGTAATGAAGAAAAACTTTAATATAAGTTTAACATAACAGCAAATGTACAACGTTTCGACAATATTTTGTCATCATCAGGTACAGCAAGCAAAACCTTGTCGAAACGTTGTACATTTGCTGTTATGTTAAACTTATATTAAAGTTTTTCTTCATTACCCACTCAAGCCGTCTCCAGCCATTATTAAACTACAAGATCTTTTTTGTTTTTCTAATAAGAAAGTTACCTTGTATATTTGAAAACCAAATACTTTGTTAACTTTCAAATATTTTTTTTTATAGGCGATTACGATATTCCTCCAAATATAGGGATTCCAGACGCTTTGACAACTCCCAAGGGAGTATGTAAACACGATTCAACAGCAAGTAGTGATTCAGACGTCTATGACATCCCTCGTAATGCAACAAATCTTTATGATGTTCCAAATGTCATCCATTATGACGTTCCAGATGGGTTAATGCAATCTGCCAAATCTCTGTTAAAAGACAAGAACGACGATTATGACATTCCGCCATCTAAGCCTCAACCCGTGCACAACATACACGAGTTGTCACATCAATGGGACAGTAAGCACCTCATGACTCCATCGGAATGTTCTACACCTCCATCATCTCGACCAATTTCTACAACAAGTAGCCATTCTAGTCAGTGCCGTTCTTCGTCTAATCGATCTAGTATAGAACAAAAACAAGAACTTTACGATATTCCTGTAAGTGATTTCCGCCAGTTTGGTATTAGGTCTACCACAGATCGAAAGTCGTCTCCACATTCTTCGTTCATAAATAATTCAAATCAGTATCTGGCCCACGCGGAATCTCTTTATAATGCCCCTCCAAATAACGCACCTGTGAAATCATCAAGCCAACACACTAGTCCAGAGGAAACAACGAAATTCTACATCCAAGGCCTGTATGATATTCCACCTCAAGTTACTCGAGACCCAAACTCTTCTGCAAACAAGCACTCTGTTTCCAGTGACGAAATACAACATTTATTGTCAAGCTGTATTGTAGGAAAGGAGCTTCCTCTGGAACATCAAGATGCTGTTGAACTGTGTGCCAAAAGACACAAAGAAGTGCATTCTACAATCAAAACGTTATTCGAATGTCTTAAAAATAAGCAAAACAACAGGGAGGTCCATTCGTTTTGTCTGAAACTGAAAACAACAGTTTATGAATTCATTGAACTTGCACTGGGTGCTTTAGCTAACTGCATACATTCTCCAGACAAAGGTTTAGCTACTAAGTTGTCCAAACTTCTGAAACCTCTGGTAGAATCAAGCACGTACATAAGAAGCATAACCAACTTGGAATGCTACAGTCCTGAAGAACTCGAGAAGATAGTTGATTGCGCCCGTAGTTTAACAGAAGACGTGAAGCTTGTCGCTTACTTTATCTGCGGTAACTCCTCTTTAATATTCAAAAGATCGAACACTGAAAGAACAGGAAATGGCGACATTTTATCGAATGAACCAAAAGAAGATAAAATTAATTCTAGTAATCCAAGCAACGTTGATAATAAGTCTTTGCTTGACGGATTTCTTACAAGCGGACATTCGACAGACGGAATTGTTGAAGATAGGAAGTCGGACCAAGAATGGTTAAACCAATATGATTATGTTGGTATTCAGTCAGGAGTCGTGATCAAAAAAGAAAATAAGGATATTAAAGATGATGTACCAAAAGAAATGCATGATATATGTAGAAACCAAGTATCCAAACACATAGAAACTGAAAGAAATCTTCAATTTGAAGTCAATGAGTTAGATCGAAATGACTATATGTTGTTAGGGTTTTACAAACACCAAATCGACGAAGAAATTGTTAATCTTACAAACCTGATTGGCGTCCTTTTAGCCAAAATAAGAAGTAAGCAGCCACCAAAGATTTTCATTGGATATTGTAAGTTTGTGATTATTAGCGCAAGTAAGTTAATTTATATCGGGGATACGATTTCTATAAACGTGTATGACGAAGACATCAAAACCAGCGTTATTCAGAAATCCAACGGGCTTTCAGATGCCATAAAAAATCTCGTAGCAGACGCCAAAAAAGCAGCGTCATTGTTTCCCTCTGCTTTCGCTAATCATGAAATGATAACCAGTATTTGTGACGTGTCGCATAAGGCTAGCGACCTCAAAGTAGCTATTGGAAAACACCTATGAATAATTCTACTAGAACCCCTCAGACATCTTCTTTTCTCTCTCTCTCTCTGAAAGTTCTTGCTCTCGAACGACAGTATAAGGCAAATGTTAACTAGTACTTTTTTCTAGTTGTCTTTTTACATTTACATACATACATATTTTAATTTTGAAATCTTAATTTCATTTCTTATGATCGATTAGTTATATTTTTTATCAACAGGGGACACCTAACATTTATAGCTATCTTTGTTAGGGTTATAAGTAATACTGAATAAGAAACGTTCGTAAAGGGTATTTTTTAAACATTGATTACAATAATATATTCAAATATTACTTTTAGCAACTTTATCAAAACTTTGACATTATAGGTATTTTTCTTGTTTCAGTAAGAAGTTTTATATAGAAAAATGGTAATCGCCCGGACTAATTATTTACAGTCTAATACATCGATATGGAAACGTTAGTCTTTATAAAATAAAGTCATTTGATATCATTATTTCCTAATACTAATATATAGAGCATAGTTATTCACAATTTGAATGTCAACGCAACTGATCGATGTGCATTACGACAATAATTGTTATGATGTGTACGCCTTTAACAGCTGGCGAAGTATTATTATAATTAATTATACTTCTAATAAGACATTATTATTAGGCCTAATATATTTTAACTGCATTTTTTATCTAGTCCCTTATAGATTTTCAAGAATGAGAAGAGTGTATAATAATAATAGTATTCCAACCACACTATATTTGCTATATCCATTGCCGACGACGCGTTTCACTCAATCTAGCACTCATCAGGCTGGCTGTGACACAATAAACGCAGTAGCGGTCGGTACACTATTTATATAACTCATTTGTCTATAGGGGTTTAGATAAAGAATGTAGTGTTAAAAATATAATAGGCCTAATATTAATGTCCAATGACAAGTATAATTGTAATCATTCTTCGTCAGCTTGTAAAAAAGCGTTCACACCATAACAATTGTTGTTGCAACAAATGGTATATTTAAATAGAATTCCGACCACTAATGCCTTTGTTGTGTCCCAGTCAGCCTGATGAGTTCTGGATTAAACAAAACGCGTTGTCGGCAATGGATATGGTGAATATAGTTTGGTTGAACTAATTATTATACACTTTTCTAATTATTGAAAATTCCTGATGGACTAGATAGAGAATGTAGTGTTCAAAATATAATAGGCCTAATACCAATGTCTGATAACAAGTATAATTAATTATAAGGTACATTACGATCGAGAGAGGTATTTTGCACCATTTTGTAAGTAGACCTAAATTACAGTATAATTCGAAAACCGCTAGATATAAATAACTATAAACTTCAGATAATTGAAAAACGTAAAGAACAGAATGTATGAATTATAATGGTCACTTGTAACTCCGATTAGCGTATTAAATTTCTAACTATCAAGATTTTTACAATTTCTTTCTTAGAACCCAGATGGAATAAATACTTTGTGTATATATTTGGTTATAAGTTTATAAATATGATTATCTTTGATTTAAAAATTAAAGTTTGTTTATGGATTTAGTTTAAAAGTCTTTTATACGTGTGTTTTTAAATATTGCCCCCTTTAAAATCAGAGTTCGATCCTCGCGGATGGTAGAAAGTAGATACAGATTGAGTGGCTTTGTGGTTAAAGTACAACAAACAAAAGAATACTTAATAGCTGTTGATTTTGAAACAATGACAGTGATTGGTTATTAAAAAAAAAACAGGAAAAATAACAAGGACAGTGATTGGTTATTAAAAAAAAAAACAGGAAAAATACCTTAATATCGTTATTATAGTAATCATTAGCCTTATTCCTTTAAGTTGCATGAAAGGATGTATTTCTGTTTATTGTTTACAGGTTTATTTTTTTCTTTATTGCAAAACTGTGTGTTATATATATTGATGATAATAAAGATTGTGTTTTACGACTTTTCACGATTTTTAAATTCCTTTTCGTATTATCAGTCATGACATTGATCTATTTCTAATCTTCTTACATCAAGATTCCTGTGGTTTAAATTTACCTAAAAAAATCAGTGACTGTATAAAGAAAACAAACTTCAGAGATGGTCATTTTATTACAATGTAATTAGATCGTAGTCAAAGTAAAAGAAAAGCAACTATCGTTAGTATTGGGTTGATACAATTAGCAGGAGTGTCCAAAAATGTACTTAATTGTCCTAGTGGTTAAACTGGGATGATGAAAGACATGGAACCCCTTTTGTAATCAACTTTGACACTTTAATTAGAAGACCAGGAATGTTAATGGTTTGAATCCTCAAGAGGTAGAACTCCTTTCCGGATCGTTGAACTCCACTTTTAACCATAATATTACTGATAATAATTTAATATCATAAAGCAAGCAAATCAAATTATCACAATGACTGACTTGGGATACTGGAACAGAGGGCGAATGTGCAAATAAAATTTTCAAAATCAGTTTATTCATCCTCAAATGTGTTTCTGGATACCCAACTCGACTCCATCACTAGTCACTTATTTTCTAATTACATTTCATTAATGGTTTACTTGGATACCTTAGCTTTCTGAATTATAGCCCAAAGTTTGTTCTTTTCTTGTAACTGTCCACAAATTTCTTATTTTCATCCTTCACATCTGTTTGACTTTTTAAACTGGTGTTTCACCAGTTGGAGCCTGAATTGTGCAACACTAAAGTTCCTGTTTAGTAATATAAAATATCTTATACCATGTCCACTGCTCTATATGACCGTTTATTGTTTCTTATGTACAGCATAGTTTTATAGCAAGCCTCAAAAGACTGGATTCTAACATAGAATCATGGTAAATCACTGAATGAACAAGGTGGCAAAACACTATTGTAATTGGTCCCCAGAACTACAAAACGCTATTGTAATTGGTCCCCAGAACAACAAAACGCTATTGTAATTGGTCCCCAGAACAACAAAACGCTATTGTAATTGGTCCCCAGAACTACAAAACGCTATTGTAATT